ATTTTTCAAATCCTGGATTTTTCAATCTGTGAAATGAAGCAATGTCTTCTAACGTGCCTTCTAACGCCTCTTGTCCAAGGACTGCAAGAGTCACAATGAATAAAATGTTACCCTTGAAAATGAAAAGTCACAAATGTGTCCCTAAAAAAAAAAACCTAAACAAAGATTAAACTTCATTTTAATACTGCTAACTGTTGACAAAGCTAGCTTTTTCATGCTTTCATTCAGAGGATATCCTTGGAAAATCAAGATTGCCAGAACTCAGAAATTCTAGCAAATAAGCTGGACAATGTAGACCTCAATCTTGTTCTTCTTCTTGTTGTTATATGCTGTCAAGTTGCCTGCGACTCATAGCAACCCTATGTGCGCAGCTCGGAAGCCTGCCCTGTCCTAAGCCATCAATCCATCTCATCCAAAGTCTTCTCCTGTGCTGTCCCTCCACCCTTTCAAGCATTATGTCTTTCTCCAAAGACTGGTTCCTCCTCAACCTACATTTCTGTATTTGGCTACTTACAGTTCCACAGAAAAACTATAGTTAAAAGCTTCCAAAAAAGGAAGCTCTCATGGCCTAGTGTTAAGAAGCTGCACTGCAATCCTGAAGGCCCACGGTTCAAATCCACCAGATGCTCCACTGGAGAAGAAGGGACAATCTCCTTCTTTGCCAGTGCGATCTGATTAGTACACAGCAAGAAAAGGGGGGGAAGCTTCAAAAATAAATATTAGAATATTCTGTACATTATTGAAAATTCCTACTATCAATGTATATTTTTTATTTAACACCCTTTAAAGGACAGTTCTTCCTATTTTAGTTATTATGTGGCCTTTTAAAAGCTTGCAAGCAGCTACTCAAAGAACAACTGGTCTCTATTCACTAAAGAAAAAGGAGACTCAGAAACTGAAATAAGAAATGGACTGCAGGTACAAATGCCTTTGTCAAGTACTACCATCTTTGTCATTCAGACTAGAAAAAAAATAATGGTGTAAATGTCAAAAGGTTTGAAACAAAAACAAGGTTTTGGTTTGACACAAAAACAAAAGTTTGAAAAATATTCTTTAGAATAAATCTGTTTCAGAATGTTTCTGATTCTTGGAAAAATAATACTGTTTATACCCTAATGTCCTGCAGCACCAATAATCTAATATATTAGCATTCCAACAGTGAAATAAATGTGTTTTCTAAGTGAGATAAAGAGTATGAGTAGTTTCATGTCAGTACAAGCCAGTAAATTATTTTGCTGCAAACTTGGTTTTCAGAGCTTTACGTAAACCTGTAATAATAGATTTATCCTTGACATTTAAGATATTGCAAATGTACAGAGAAAAAAAATAATGATCACAAAAATATCCTTTTAATAACACTGTAATGCTAAAAAAATTATTGTAAGGACAGCATAGACCTGGGCAGTGTTTCATTATGTTCAATCAAAAGTTATATGAGTCAGAAAAGACTCAGTGGGACTTAACAACTATAAAGAAAAAACCCAAGTTGGTATAGTTGTTGAGTGTTAACACATCAATTCTGATGCACTGACAGAGTAAACCTTGCACTGACTGATGAGCAAACCTCCCTCATACAGGTTTTGAGGAAGCTTTTGTTTCTTTGTTCTAATTGTGGTTTAGGTAAAAGTCTACAGAGTAAATTAATCCTCCATTCAATAATGTACACACATATTATTTGATAACAGTTGCAATTTTCTCAATGAAAGAGCATTATTCTAACTTCCTCCTTGAGTTCCCTCAACCAATCAGTCCTTGTTTTCTATCCTTTCTTGCTTTCTCAACTTTGTTCTGGGGTAAATTTTTACAAACCTGTCTGTTGTTTGAAGTGTGATTTCCAGGAATAGGTTCAGTTCCAGATTTGAAGGGCGACCAATGGCAATAATTTATGTGTTTTATTTTATTCTACATCTTTCTTTCCACATTCGATTTTCTATACTATACTCTTTATGGGGAAAGCTCTGGTGACTCAGTGGTAAGGAAATAGATTGCCAAACCAAAAGTACACAATTTGAATCCACCAGGTGCTTCACAGGAGAAATACGAGCAGTCTCTGAAAACCTGCTGGAGGGTCAGCTATGGGTTGGTTCCAACTCTACAGTACTCAATAACAACACACCTCTTTATGAGACTACATCTTAAAGTCTTTCTCCTACGGACTCACTTAGCAGGTTTGAATCTTAACATGAGAATTTAAATGCTTAACTATCGCACCACAACAGCGCTTATAAATCTACAAAACTGTCACACCAACACAGTTATTACAAAGCTACAAAAAAGTAAAATCTAACTGGTGCCTACCAATTGTCATAATGAGAAAAATAGTGTGTGTTTCATTTTCATAATGCAAATTAGGGTTGATCAGATAAATACATTAACATGAGGACATCTACCAAGTATAAAGGTACCAAAATGAGAACAGAAATATGTGGCAAACCAATGCCCATGGTACATTTAACTTTCTATACAGCAGGATAAACTAATTCAGATTTCACTACACAGAAAAGTTCCTTAAAATTCACTTAAGTTAAAAAAAAATTCACATAAATTTCAGTTCTTCATCTATGAAATTAAGATAATGGGTTTACCTCCCTATATTTAAAAAAAAAAAAAGTAACATTTAAAGTTCATGATTTATAAATGGCCAAATGAATTTTCTCCCTTTTTTTCCCCTCTTTTTTTAAGACAGGTCACTAATGACATTTCCTAATACTACCAAAGGAGAAATGATGCCTTTGAGCTGTGGTGCTGGAGAAGAGTATTGAGGGTACCATGGACTGCTAGGAAAACAAACAGATTCATCCTGGAAAAGGTCAAACCGGGTGGCTCCTTGAAGGCAAGGATTTTGAGGCTCCGTCTAACATACTTTGGACATGTTTTAAGGAGGGTCCTTGGAGAGGGACATCATGCTTGGTAGGGTGGAGGGACAGCGCAGGAGGGGAAGGCCCTCTATGAGGTGGATTGTTTCAGTGACTGGGGTAATCGGGATAGGTGTATCAGAGATGGTACGACTGGCACAGGACAGAGCAGAGTTTAGGGCTGTTGTACATAGAGTCGCTATGAGCTGCAAGCAACTCGACGGCACATACCAACCAATAAATTGGAGGGGCTCAAGTATATAACATGCCTGAGTTCTGGTGGCTCTGGTGGCAGTTGCACTGCCAACTGAAAGGCACACAGTTCAAATCCACCAGCTGCTCGATGAGAGAAAGATGGGCAATCTCCTCCCATGTGATTGTCCCACTGCGGCTATGAGCCAGTTCTGACTTAAGGGTACACAACAGTTCATGAATTACTGGGCAAATTTTAGTATACAAAAATCATGATGAAAATTTCAAAATGTCAGTGTTGATTAAAATAACTAATCTCTGAAATCAAGGCAACATCTCAAAACATTCTAGCTAAATCTATCTGCTCCCTTCAACACTCTTCTTTCTTCTACACAAAAAAATTACAAACACAATAGGTAGTAACTGAAAACTACTGAAAAGTGCACCTATTAAACTTTAAATCATCAGAAGAATGGCCTAAGTTTTGCAGATAAACTATGAGGACAAGAATTCTTTAGGTACTAATAATTCACTGCCCAAAACTCCCAGACAAATTAAGCATGACAATGTAAAAGAAGGTACAGAAGTTCAATTTCCAATTTTAATAAACTATGCATGCAATATTCATTAAAACTGGTATTTCATTTTATTGTTAAATGTATAAAAAAGTGGAGTCCTTTGCTACTCTTTTCCTAAATTCCATTTATTTTAGTTCCATTTTGCAATGCAAGAGTTTGAGAAGGCACAGAATCAATCTTAAAGCAAAGTTTTGAACTGATTCAATCCTTCACACTCTGTATTTCCCTGAAATGCAGTATATTAACTGGTCAGTGCAGATCTGCCTCCACAACACCCACTTTAAAAGGTGTGTAAGCAAATTCAGTTAGCACAACTCATGATGAAACAGAAAGCCTTCCCTAAATGTTAATACACAAAACCTAGCAGTCACTGTTAATGCTACCACAAATAACTCTTCAGGCTCCTGTGGGGTCTATACGTTTCAAGAATAGTATCACTTACCATATGTCCTACAGGACAAGGATGGGCAATCTCTTCCCTTTGAAAACCCAATGAGGGTCAGCTGTGGGTCGGTTCCAACCGCCACCACATGTTAACTATGTAAATGTTATCTAAATATTACTCAAACTTAAAAATGTTTAAGTAATCTGTATTTTTCTGTGTTCTAATCTGATGTTGTCAAGAATGAACAGATTCAGAAACAAAAGCAATCTGACCAGCTATCTCACAACTACTTATAATGGTGAATTTAAAAGAGCCTTAATCCTTCACACTTGCACGTTTTCTGTCATAAACAGAAACTCCAAAGTAGAAGAAATAGAGGGGAAATCTTATTTTTGCTAAAAAGAATAATGGCACTGCCTTAGATCCCCACAAAGTGAATAAAGAAATAAACACACAATGCACGGAAGAGGGGCTGGGAGCGACTGGGGTCCAGGACACGCCACCCAGGTCAAAGAGGACCCAACACATCTGTAATGACACCTGCAACAGAGAACCGGAGGCGGGGAAAGGACAGTGGCTGGGGGCTCAGAGTTGAGCCTACACGTTGGGCTTCTCCTTCGTCAACTCTCCTCTCACCTCCCAATTCCCATCCTCCCTTCCTACCCCGCTCCCTCCATAAAGAAAAAAACCCAGTAAATCGGAGACAGAAGACAAAGAGGCAGAAGGGCTGGCTCCAAAACGTCCAGAACAATGGGCGAGAAGGTGCGAAGAGAAACTCCTGCGAAGGACAATGAAGGGGATGGCTAGGGGACAATGAACGCGGAGGCATCGAGGGAAACGCTGCCGAGCCCGGGCCTCGCGGGCGGTGGACGCCTGGACGCGAGGCCCAGCTGCGCGGGCGGTGTCACCCCCAACGCAGCAGGATGGGCCGGGAGCCGCAGGGCCTGGACACTCTGGCCCGGCCTGCGAGAGAGCGTCGACGGGACTCACCAGCATTCTGGTCTCGGGGCCAGAGGTAGTATGTGGCCGGGATCACGATAAGCCCTACGAAGGAGGTGAGGAAGTAGAAGAAGGTGTTCCCGCTGTCATCGTACTGGAACTGCTGCCCCGCCATGGCACCCTCTCCTCCTCCTCTCTCTTCTCACCGCCGCCGCCACGACCCTGCTCGGCGTTCTGGCTCCCGGCGCCCCGGCCCCGTGTGGCGTAGTACCAACGCCGCTGCCGCCGACTCGCTAGCCCCCCGCCCCCACTATACTCTCACGGACACGCCGCGGCCACCTCTGCTGCCGTCCCCAGCTCTCGCGAGAAAAAGACAGTCCCCGCCCCTCTCGGTTTTCTCCTCCCCTCGTCTTTCACCCATACTCTCGCTAAGGAAGACGTGGCGCGCGCAACCGTGAAACTCAGCTAGGCTCCGCCTCCAGTCCGTCTTTAGCCCCGCCCCCAAAGCACGGTCCCGCCCCAAAATCCTTGTGGGTCCTCCCCCAAGGCACCGCCCTTTACCCTCGGACTCCTCCTCCTTCCTTCTCCGCGTGGTTTCCTGGCTCCCCTCTGCCAGAGCTGGCACTTAACCTCCTGGGTTCCAGAGGAGCTTTCTGGACCTGGCGGTAGGCGCAGACACCTCTCCAGGCAACAGCTGGCTTCGGAGCTCTTGCCAGCTAACCTGAGACTTGCCACTCTGTCCTGTCCCTACCCCACCTTGTACTGCCCTCTAAGGTTTTAATTTTCCCTTGTGATAACATTGTTTGCTTTGGTTCTCCAGGTCTTCCTCCACACAGTGGAAACGAAAGTCATTCAGGACTAAGCAACAGAATTGGAAGAAGACAATGGGAGTTTTGGTTTTGTTTGCAAAGTTATGTTTGCTAGTGCAAGATTGGTCTATTTGGCACCCTTTTTTGGATAAGGATTCCCAAAGTCAGTAGAGAACACGACCTAGCCATCAGATCACTTTAGACCTTTGCTACATTCTGACATGTAACCGTTAAAAAATCTCATGAGATAAAGCATGTCCTCCCTATAGATAAGGACATTGATGCTTAGAGAGATTGCCTGAAGTCAAATACAAAGCCTCAAATCCAAACTACTCTGAGGCCACAAAGCTGATGCTTCTTTCTGACCACCACTTCCTTAAGCAGACCTTAAGCAGAGCGACAGACCAGGTATTTGCACTTGGGGAGGAGCTGCTCTCAAGAGTCTCCTTCTATCCATGGTATGGGATCCCAGAGGGGCCTACCAACTGAGCCTGGGAGCAGGGAAGACTGGTACTACAATTGTGGCTTAAGAATGACCCTATTAAGGTCCTATCTGGGGGCAGCCCTGGCTTGGGCCTGTACCAGCGTCTCCAGAGCCCCCCTGCTGGTCATAAAGAAATGCCTACTGGATCCGTTTTTTTGGGTGGTTGTGAAAATACTTTTCAAAGAAAAACTAGACACGCAATTACTAGATACTACACTATGTTTTTTTAAACATAATTTAAGACCTTATGGTCTTTAAACACCCTTTTATCGTTCGTTGGATAAGAAATTTGGTGGCATGGCTTCTTTTATTGCATGTCTTCAAAACTCAACTCATTTCCTACAATCAGAACCAACTCATAGGTAATCCTCCATTGGTTTTCCAAGGCTGTGAAATAGAACGGTGAAGATTGCCTATCTTCCTCCTGAGTTGCCGCTGGTGGATTCCAACTGCCAGAGAGGGTGACCCTTGGGTTAGAAGCCCAATTCCCTATTTTCGTCATAATAGATTATGTGCACCTGTATTCTATCTTCCTCCTCAAACTACTTAAATAGAAAAGAAAAAAATCTCAAAAAAATGTAAATTGCAGAAAATCATTTCCTCTTTGTTTTCCTTCTTACGTTTTTCTGTAATAGTTTTTAAGAGCTTTATTAACCCACTGCCGTCAGTCGATTCCTACTGGATCTCAGAAGCTATAAATGTGTATGAAAGGAGACTGCCCCATCTGTTCGAAGCCAGGCTAGTGGATTGAAACTGTTAACCCGTATGTCAGGGCTGCTTGAAGAGCTCTACTGGAAGAAGAGTAAGGGGTGGGGGCCAGATGGTTATAGAGAGGCTAGGACGATGAAGTCAATACAGGATTGTGATCATCCAAGCCTGTTACGGCACAAATGAACATACTTGCCTTGCTTCAAAAATCAACTTCGTAAAAAAATTTGTCTCAACCAAAGAGGATAGAATCATGAAGTTCCTCTTTGTTGCTGAGGTTCTAATTAATCTTCCTAGCTCTTGATAGTGCTGAGCTAGTTATTTTTTTATTACTCAATTTATCTTTTACTCAGTATTTGTGCAGAGATATATGTCAATTTTATAACCTGTGACAATATAAACTATCAATTATAAATACTGCCTGGCTGGCCTTTTTCCTTCAGGTGTAATCTTTCCTTTGGGGGGTCATATCTGAGAAGAGGTTGAACCAAACAGAACAACAAAACAGCAATCTGAACAACTTGTATTCCTTTACTAAATCCCAAACCAATCTAAAAAGGAAATTTATTTACCAGGGCAGATTAGAGATCTAATAATATGTCTACTTTTTTTCAAAAGTATGTTGCTGTTGTTGTTGTTGTTATAAAAGTTGTTTCAAAAGCATAATTATGTTTTATTCTAGAAATTGACAATCCTGAACAAAGAAAAGCTTTACTATGGTTTTGAGGTGTTTAAAAAAAAACAACAAACTTTAGTCATACCTTATTTTTGTTGTGTACCTTTGAGTAGAAAATGACCCAGCATGGAAGAAGATTGCCCATCCTTCTCCCCTAAAAAACTGGCAGCTGGCATTTGGGATTGCAGTTAGCTTCTTACCCCTAGGCCATCAAAGCTCCCTTAATTAGTCTAAATAAGATTGCTGACTTACAGTGATTATTTTTTTAAATTAGCATAATTTTAAACATCTCATTTTAATGATATATTTAATAATGTTATAGTTGTTATATGTCATACAGTTGCTTGTGACTCATACTAACCCTATATGCAACAGCTCTGAACCCTGCTCTATCTTGAGCAAATTCCATTGTCTCAAGCGTACTTGCCACCATGTCAAGTGCTCTTACCACCATTATCCAGTCACTAAGTCAATCTATCTCATACAGGGTCTTCCTCTCTTGCATTATTTCTCCTCCCTTCCAAGCATGGTGTCCTTTTCCAAGGACTGGTCCCTCCTGGCAACATGCCCAAAGTATGTCAGACAGAGCTTCAAAATCCTAATCTCTAAGGAGCAACCTGATTTCACCTTCCAAGACAGAGTCATTTGTTCTCTTAAAATTCCATGGTATGTTCAATATTCTTCTTCAGCACCACAACTCAAAGGCATTAATTCTTCTTTTATCAGGGAGCTCTAGTGGCCTAGTAGCAAGAAGCTACACTGCAATCCCAAAAGCACGTGGTTCAAATCCACCAGCTGCTAGACTGAAGATGGATAGGCAATCTCCTCTAGAACAATTAACAGCCTCTGAAAACCTGCTGGAGGGTCAGCTATGGATCAGTTCCAACTTGGTGGTACACAACAATAGCAACATCATACTTAATCATTGACTGGCTTTCTGATTTATAGCAAATAATTGTGAAGACCATGATCAGGCACACTTTAGTCTCTGGACTGACATGATTGCTCTTCAGTACTCTGGAGAGGTCTCTAACAGAAGACTTTCCCAATGCGATTCAACTTCTGATTGATTTCCTGTCTATCGGTACCAAGAGTGTTGATTAACAATCTCAAGCTCTTCACCATCTATTGTGATGTTGTCAATTGGCCCAGTGGTGAGAATCTTTTTCTTTTTGTCTTGATAATTTTTATATTAGAAAGGTAATATTTAGGATATACACGGAAAGAATATTAACTTTACCTATTTTGTCTTGCATTGTCAAAAGTTACTAATACAAATAGTGAAATTTATCAATGTGACAATTGAACAACAGTTATGATTTACCAGTTTTCTTAAGTAACATTTAAATTACTTTGAAATGCACCTATCAAAAATAAGGCATCCCAAAAGCATCCCTAGAAACAGGATTCAAAAACTGTGTATAACATGCTACCCCTGAGAGAAATCTCTCAAGTTCAATGAAACTTAAATCCTACTATTTTGACCTACTGTGTACAGTAGAGTCAGAACTGACCCATAGCTGACCCTCTGGTAGGTTTCCAGAGGCAGTTAATCACACAGGAGGAGATTGCCCATCCTTCTATCTCAGAGCTGCTGGTGGCCTCGAACCATGGGCCTTTGGGACTGCAGTGCAGCTGCTTGCCAGTAGGCCACCAGAAAATTGACTTAATTAAAAATTCATAGTTGATAGAAAAACAGCCAATGTGATGTAACTGGATTCTAATGTGAGTGGTACATTACTATATAAATGTTATGATTGGCAAGGATGGGGAGAGGAATAGAGAGATGGGTTGATTCTGTAGGTAATGGCGTGTATGTGTATACACAAATATCTGTGTATGGAGCCTAGTTTCATTAAAAGCTGTGTAAAAACAAAGCCTAACTAAACAAAGTATAAGTGATGAAAAAAATTGTTTAAGGGGGGGGGGGGAATGGTCATAAAAAAGAATGCACCTTTCCTCAAACAGATAAATCTTGGAAAACAAAAATTTCCAACATGAAGGTGTTATTGCTCATGATATGGTGCCTTAAAAAAGGAAGAATCTTCCTTTCTCTGTGTTTCAAATGCCCATGCATCCTGCGGAAATTCATAGTGAGCATAGAGCAGCAAAACCCATCTCACAATCTGACATCTGATGGAAGTGGCTCCACATTTAAAGTCTTTTCATAGAAAACATTTTCAAGAACGTTGCATATAAAGACTAAGTAACTGCAAAATAATGTAGTAACTAACACTGATATGTGGAATTTGGACCTGTGAAACTTATTGCCATGTATGCCGATCAACTCACACACAATCAGAAAGCTTTGCATTGTGACAGATGAGTATCCAGCCTGATTCCATACAGATGTCACTCTTGGTTGCGGAACACATACTAAGAGGCTGTCTTCTGGGATCATAGTCTATTTGTTTCATTTCCAACTTGTACTTTGTCACCCATAGTACATCACGGTCAGTAATGATAAATTGCTTTATTTGGGTTTGAAAGCTATTTAC